TCGTAAACCAGTCAAGTCCTTCATCACTTTGTCCGTGTATTATCATTCGGTGTTCACGAAGTAGAAGGCGAATGTAAGAAATATTTTATGGTCAAAAGTAGCGTTTAATCCTTCTATTCAGGTTTATTGTTAAAATAGAGCTACATCTATCCTAAAGGCATAAGCAGCTGCATCAATGCCAGTAAATCAACCTCGCAGCTACTGTGCTAAATTTCGAATACGCACTCCATAGTTCCCCTTTTCCTGTGTCGTATGACAAGTCCTCACGGCCGCCTCCTATGTAAATGTTAACAATCTTCTGTATTTCACTTTTTCGTGAGTTCCCGTTATTCGGTCACTATCCGCCCCGCCCTCGGCGACTGTGGCAAGGAGAGACAATTATGGAGAACAGAGGGGAATGACGTTTAACTTTTTAACTAAACTTCTGTGCATTTCAAAACAATTCTATTCGAAAAATTGTATTATTTTACTGTAAATCAGATCAGATGAATTGCACTTCCTTTTTTATGGTATTACTAATATTGTCAAAATTTAAATTGTCTAAAAATTCTAATCAGTATTCCGTTTAGGCGTTGACTACATGCATCCGGATTTGAAAGACAACTTCGTTAGTGTCAAGTTTTGTCATGACTTTCAAGTGCTTCAAAAAACAGCGTTTTAGAATGCAGAGGTGAGCTACGACTTCAGCAGCAATGACCCTTTCCCATACCCCCGGTACACGGACGACTGGTTCAATAGCCACGGTACGCGATGCGCCGGCGAAATCGCTGCCATTCGAGGTAATGATATCTGCGGGGTCGGCGTGGCCTATAACTCCAAGATAGCAGGTATGATTATATGTAGGAAGCTGACTGACCCAGTGCTGCTGAACGTTGCACTTTTAGGTATACGAATGCTCGACCAGCCATACATGACCGATTTGATCGAGGCAAACTCTATGAGTCACGAATCAAATAAAATCGACATCTACTCTGCCAGCTGGGGTCCTACAGACGATGGCAAAACGGTAGACGGTCCAAGGAATGCGACAATGCGGGCCATTGTCAAAGGTGTCAATGAGGTAATTCAATCTTTAAGTGGCATCTCTGACTTGATGAAGCAGATTGATTCTGCTTAGCATAAGTATAATAATAATCACCCTGAAATCTGACCCATGCAATTGCAATTTGGCTGTTTCCAGTGATTAAGACATCGTTTGTTACCATTCGCAGCAACATCTACGTAGACTTCTCTGCCGCTCACTAACTCTCCATTTATTGCCTTCGGGCGCATATAAATTTCTTTATTTACGGTCCATACGTTGAACTGGCATTTAATCACCTATCAGATGGATTGGGCCAAATTATGGCCTTAAAAGACACGCCTATAACACAAATCAAATGGCTTGAAAATATTGACATGACCACGCTAAAATACCACGTTCACTGCATTATTCAGACAGTCAGTCTGTTTCGATGGTCGTTCATCCCTTCGTGTGGCGGAGGCAGATATGTCAGACAATATCTGCAACGCTTGACCTTCGACTGATGATAATCCGAGTCCGCAGCAAAGTTCTTCGATATTCTGTGGGGGAACCGGGGTCTTCGGCCGGTGGGTTCGACAAGCAGTAGCTGTCTCACCTTCCCTTTTCAAAACATTCACAGGACATGAATAAGCTATCGCAGCTGTGACCTTTTAACCTGCACAAGCAGCGGCTGTACACCAAGACTTTCTCGGATAATTATACTCCGGACTGTATCGAAACGCCTGGGGCCGGAAGTTTTTTTCAGAAAGAACTTTTTAGCCGGTTGTACCTAGATCAAAGTGCAGTCGCAGTCTACGACTCATGCACGTTGGTAAACATGGAGGAAAGGATCGACTTGAATAACGAGACCTTAGCCTTCAGACTCAGCTCTGTTTTAGTCACAACGCTGCGAGCTAGCTTAACAGAACTCCACTGCTTCTCCAATCCGCCGGTCAATTGCTTCCTCAAATTTTCCACCACCAGTAAGCACGACCCTGAGGTACTTGAACTTCTCCACCTGCTTCACTGTCTCTCCGTTAATCTGAAGAGAGCAACTGGCAGAGGAACGAGTAAGCCCTAGGCTTTTCGTTTCAGATGCGTTCATGCACATGCCAGTGATGTCGCACTTTCCTGCGAACCTTTCCAGAGAGATCAGTTTCGGATGATTCTGGTCTTCACCATCCTTCTGGTCTTGACATCTCCAACACTTATACACTTAGAACAGACAGCAGCTTTGACGGAGACCAGTGCCAACGTTGAAAGGCTTCGATTTAACGCCATTTACCATGCCGCAGCACCTGCCATCAGCATATAGCGATTAGATGTCCCGTAGAAACTGGGCAGGCACTTCTATAGCTTGTTGTGCAGGATCCACAAATAGGCTTTCTCCAGGTCACAAACGAAAATGTAATCCGGATCGATGAGAGAAGCCCCACGATTTTTCCACAGTCTGGCTTAAGACGAAGATCTGGTCAGAGGTGCTTCGGCCTTGTTAGTTACAGTCAGTTATTTCGCGACAACCACCTTCATAACACGTTTGCGCAAACGTTTCTTGGAAGGTCAAGTGAAGGAACATCGCAATAACATGAACCTTCAATCTAGTGTCCGTACTTAAACAGGGTACTAAAACGGCCGTTCTCCGGTTCATTGATGTGCCGTGCCCTAAGCATGGCAGTTTGAAAGACACGAGTTACCACAACATGTCTTGTTCGCTTAAAGCTTTAAGCTCAGCAGGGCTGTTTCATGGATTGCAGCAATCTTGCCACTTTTCAGGCATTTTGCACCGTTGTGATTTTATATAATGAAAAACTAATATCAGTTGCTCGCTGCTATTCATATGAGACTTCCTGCGACTATCTATTTCCAGACTGAAATTACTATCTCTGTCAACGACGTATATCCTCATCGTTGGTAAGAGAGCGACTCAACTTGTCCTTCAGGACTTTTACACTGCCCTTCTTTCCAGGTCTGATGCGGCGGATTGTTTGCCAGAATACCTGGTCGGGAAATTCGACCCCAACATCTCCCAAGAATCAGAATTACCTTTAGCCACTGCGTTCATTATCAGGTTCTTCGTAATATTGAAGGCCATGACTTGAATGTCGCCTCCTTCTCGGTATCAGCCAGTTGAATCTTTCGTATCTGTCAGGAAGTTCGTTTCTAACTTCCAGGCGGCAAGCCAACCTGTTTCAAGCCACAGCGTTCCGCCGGAGGATATAGTAAGCCATTTGAAGAGAGCTGCAGTTCGGTTTCTACATCAGCGAACATCAGTGGGACCTGTTCACACTATCGTGCGTTGTTTTGCTTTCGTGTCCGCAGAACATAATTTTCCCTAGTTGGATTTTCTGGTTGCTTCTGCCGCTAGGTTTTCTCATGGTACTCGAAAAACAAGATTATAATTGGCTAACATCGTTACGCCCTCTTGACAAGAACATCGATCACAGAGTGTCCTAAGTCAGACGACCATCATAAGAAAGCCTGGCCTAGTCAGGTAGGAAGAAACAACACTGTCTAGTGGTGGTTTGGATACGTAGCAAATGTAATCAGGGCGTTATAAGGAGACCTACAGAAGAGTGCATTTGTTTATCATTTCAAAAATTCAACAGGAGACTTTGACGAGGTTCTGCCTGTGCCATATCAAATAGCTTGAAACATCATCTTCCATCGCTGCTTCTTCTTTCGGGTCGCGGAGGCGGACGCGTCAGACAGAGCTTCCAACGTTCCCGATCCTGTGCCAGAGTCTGAGCTTCGGCAAAAGACAAATGCAAGCTGGAACTGATTTCTTCCATATGTTTGCACCAGGTTAATCTTGGCCGTCCCCTGGGCCTTTTGCCGGTCGGATTTGCA